ATTACAAATAACTAATTGCTAATTAATTAATACCAGAGGTTTTCAAAAATTTATTCTTGTAAATCATACAAGTTATACATAGTTTATAAATATCAAATGCTGAAATAAATAGATTGGTAAAGTTATTTGTTAAAATTAATATAAATATTGCTAAATATCTCCTTCAAATGTATTAATACGACATATTTAAGTTGTTAAAAGGTTTCTTCTGGTGCAATAGATGTATATATTACTTATCATAAATTAATGCAATTATGAGATGTTAATTATCAGTTATCTAATAATAGTAATAATTAATTTTGAACATGTGGCATTATATTATGTGGCTTATATTACCACTATAGAATTCTTCATTAAATGTAATATCTTGTTCACGAATTAGAGCAAATTTTAAATAGCAGATTAATTGTTGGATGCAAACGCAAATTGTTAAATTTAAAAAAAAAAAGAGAAAAGATAACAGCTCCAAACAGACACTTTAAAAACCATCAAATATAAAATAGGCAGACGCGATGACAGATTAGATAAGCGCACATGTTGGCACATCGCTGTATGAAAACCCATTCTTCGCGATCGATATTCAGCAAATTCTATTCTAACATTCGAAGATTACATTTGTTCTAACACTGAAAACTTACCTAACTCGATAACTATGCAACGTACGTGCAAATAATGTAAAATAAAAGCAAGAGAACTGCAATTAGGATAAAAATAAATATAGTTCGCTAATATCGTGCTTTCTTGCAAGTCACTCGACCAATTCTTTAGCAATACCGGAGGAGCATGTCAAAGACCTACCCCAGGTGATGTCGTTGAACCAAAATTGGGAAGATCCGATAGTATCGTCGATCAAGGGTGCTATGGGATCGGTAGAATCCGGTGGTGGATTACACGGTCCATGTACACGACACGTACTAGTCCCTATAGCACGATTGGTAGTTGCGTACATCATCTCGGTTGCCACCACCTCGTCAAGATCGACCTCAGATGTATCGTCGATTCCCTTGTCGCAAAGTAGCTTTATCCTAGACGAAGAGCCAGCCTGCACGAATATGTCGTCAGGAGGACTGTTATGAGGGGAGCATTCGCTTCTAAGTCCAGCTATCGGTTGTTCGTATTCGGCTGAATCGCTACTAGGCGATGGTGGATAGGTGCTGGTGTTCGATTTGATCGGTCGATCCCTTGGTAGCACTTGAATGCCCGTTGAGGAGGTGGAAGGTCCTTCGATGGCAGGAGGTATCCTACGCCCAACAGCGGCCGCAGCCGCAGCCGTAGCCGCGGAATAGGAATAAAAGGAACCACCCTGTATCATCATACTGCAGGGTGGTTCCTCTACTGCGGCACCGCCGCCAACACCGGACCCGGTCGACACAGAGGAGGAGCTGACACCGAGCTCACCTTGTACTTGCTGAACACCGTACATCCCCTGCGATACTCCTGTTTCAGCCTGATGATGATGCTGTTGCTGCGGTTGATGCAAACTCTGGTACTGTTGTTTGTCCTTTTCGCGACGGGGCGACCGACCCCGATCACTGACTGACGTTGCGCTCCAGTATCCCCACGCCATTTCGCGACCAATTCAGCCGTATTTATCTCACCTTCTTCTATCTTGGCTACCTAATATCATCCACCAACGATCGTACACCACTGGCTCTCGTCTTTTGCTCGCAATTACCCTCCAAACTCCCACCCTAAAGTTTTCCCTACTTTCCTTCCTACGGTATGTGCGCACGCTCTCTTGGTCTATCTCTTTTTCACCTCTCTCTCTATCCCTGTCTCTCCCTCTTCCTTCTAACCGTTCTCTGTCCTCCTCTTTTACCGTAGCCCGACCTCTTGCAGGAACCCGGCTGAGAATGCGACGAGTCAGCTCGATCGATGCTGGTTTATCGCCACTTTTGCAACCTCTTCAATAACAACAGCAATTGTCAAAGCTATGCTGCCACAAGCTCTCTACATGAATCGCGATCATTGAAAAACGGACTGCTGCTGCTTCTGCTGCGACAAGACTCTCTCCCTTCAAGTGGTATTGGCGTTCGCCAAAGTTTCAGTCAAAATGCTTTTTTCTTCCTCTGTCCACCAGCTTCCCTTGAATTATCTTCTCATGTCTCTTCAAGATGCTCTGTTATGTGCGTGCGAGCTGGCCCGAGCAAATTTCGTGGCTGCTAATCAGTCCACGTAAGAATATCGACTGCTACCGCGGGATTCGTTAACTACCGTCGCCGCCCGACGCGCTTTACTCTACGAAATGCGCAAACGCTAGAATAAAGGCACCAGTGAAAAGCAGGACTGATTTCTCTTTAAACATACCACCACCCCCGCCCCGACCCTTTTCCTTCTTTTCTGACTCTATTCCGCCCCATCCCTCATTACGCTTCCATCTGTTTCTCGCTCTTCTTCCTCTCCATTCAATCCTTTTTTAGCGCTTTCATCATTGTTGCCTTCTTCGTGTTCACTTTCTCCGTTATCTTTTCACTCTTCCCTTGTACCTACTATTTATCACTTTTATTTATTTTCTTTACCTATCTATAATGCATTTCTTGCCTTTGTTATTGCATTTATACTTTGAATTTTGTTCTCCGTTCGAGAATAATAATCCGAAACACAGACAAATGAATATTGTAACACGTATTTAAATGATCATTTAATACATTAATTACCCCTTTTCTACCTTCCCTGTATTACCACCTTTTTCTGTTAAAATGCTTGCTAATTACATTAAATTAAATCAGAGGGTAATAATGAATATATTATAAAGATGTATCCATATAACAGTATGTAGTTATTCACAAAATGATGTTTTGTTACTAACTTGAAAATCGTTGAATATCGAAATTGCTACTTATTTTAATTTTAATATACTATTTTAAATCAAACCAAAACTAAAGAAGAAACGAACTAACAATCTTGTTCATTTATTAATTAGTGGGTCATATAAAAATAGATATTTCATATATTTGTTTCATATAATTATTTCTAAGTATCTATTATACATTTCAAAATGTTCAATTTCATTAAACCAAAAAACAGTATACAAAATGTATGTCGTATGAACTGAGTAAACATATAAACATTTATAGAGAACACTTACCATGTATAATTATTTCTGTGTCCTTTTCTAGTTCATAGAGGCGTAATGCTTCATCCAGCTCCTGTTGAGAAGCAATCCTGCAGGGGTCACCCTCATCATCAACCCATTTCATTGTAAACTGATCTGGTCCCGCAATATCAAACTCACATATTGAACGTACTTCTTCCCTTAATGTGTCTAGTGAAATTCCAGTGGTAATATACATAATCTGCACTTCCCTAATACAAATACCAATAATTACAATCCTTCTTCAATAATAATTAATATGACAAAATATATTTCATTTGATATTAATATATATTCACATTGTTAACTAACTATTAAAAGAATTACCTGAAATTAATATCAAACAGCTTCTGAATATTGAAATAACTTATTGTTAATAAAATAATACATGTGAAGTACGTATTGTTTCTAGATATATTAAAAATTTGGAATTAAACTTAAATCTATATAAAAATGTTTGTATATATTACCCATTATAAACAATTTTTGCCCGAATATCATCATTTTCTGTTGTCTGTGTAGGCATTTTTATCTAATGTGGACACTGGTCCTCTTACTGAAAAAAATTACAATATTAAATTAGTGTCAAATTAAACCGACAAAATTAAAATTGATTAAAAATATACGAAGATGACACAAACGACATAATTTAAATGTAATTAAGTTGATTAAGGAAAAAATACTTCTCTATTTTTCACCACATTTATAAAATAATATTCAAGCAAATTAAAACGCATATATTTAATGTTTTATAGAATTCAAAAGATCTAAAATAATCTTTTTACTTGAAATACAATCTCCTTTGAAACTACCTTAATTTTGATGCTCGTACGATTTCTGATTCACCACACTAATGTTTTGTATGTAGTTTAACTGTTATCTCGGGTAAAATATACACCTGTTAGATTCCTTTGATAGATAAACAAACTATCTTTTCCAAAATACTGATTAAAAACAATCATATAGCAATCACAAAATTAAGAATTATTCTATACACTAAAACGCGTTGTCACTTGGCAGCCGCCATGTTTATTAGATATACATGAAGTACTTACTTGATATCACGAGAGTCCATAACTAAGCACGAAGGTTGGAAGATGGTGGGGGAACGCAGTGATGGTGGGGGAAAACGATCCGCCAATCGCTTTCCACTTCCGCTGGAAGTATCACCAATCAGAGCGACAATGCGCAGAAAAGAACGAAAACTGGTCTTTTCGCAGTTATGGACTCTCGTGACATTAAGTTTACATACTTACATTCCTTATAGAGTGACGCATACGTGATTTATTTGACTAAAATGGAAATCTAGATTTCAAGAACGCAATTAAATAAATCTATTAACTATGATTACTATCGCGTCACTTCTTATTTATATTGAATATTCGCATTAAATTATTTAATATGATTGATAATTACCTATGAGGGCAACTATTTACTTTTCTACCATACAACAGTTCTGATTTTAAAGATCAATTTATAATTCAATTTAGCTATATGTATAATATTGTAAATTACGCAATTATTTAACCTTCTTAAATACTATTCCTGTTTCATTAGGTTATTTGTTATTTAATTATTAATTATAAATCATTTTTTAATAGTTTGTTAATATTCTTTCTGTGTAACTCATACAATTTGTATATTTATTGTGAAGCATTGAAAAAATACTCTTACCATGATACATTTATGTTTCGGAAATATAATTTTTCTAACTTTTATAAACTATTTTAGATAAGATAAACAGTTAAGAAATCTTATTTATTATATTACTCACACGCATTCGTGCTACTTTCATTAACTTTGAATATATCACTTATAAGAAATTCTCATCACGTGGTAAATTTCTGCAACTATCTTCAGACTTTGCGAAGTTCAAAATAAAAATTATTTATAATAAAATAAATATTTTCCTTTCACTATTTAGTACTATATTAGAATAACTAATCCCTTAATTATTTATATTTCTTGTCTCCCTTTTTATAGTTTTAATAATACTAACTATATCAATACCGCGTTGGTCTTTTAAGTGCATTATGCATCCCTATGAAAACAGAAACATACCTTGTTCAAACGTCAGTGGGCACTTTGAGTGCAATTAAATAGTGTATGAAACATTTAATAAATAGAAATGTGTAATTTAATATAGTATATAAGTACTAATAATGTAATGAATATAGTGTGTAATGTAACGAACTTTCAGACGTATATCGTTGCTAAAGAAGTATAATTACAATTTTGAGGTTATTCTGTATAAGAGGTTAAGTTCTATCAAAGCATTATTATACATAACTTTCAGGGTAAGAAATCTTATTTTATGATTACTATATCTTTAATTAGTATCTTCAGACTTATATTATTTTGGTTTTCTTAATAGGTAGTTGAAAATTGCTCCAAATTGCTGCTTTCAAATTTTAGGTTTACAATGAAGAGGTCACACTCTCGACGGGATAGAGATGATTATGAACGTGCTAAACATCATTCAAGAGATGAAAATCATGAAAAGGAACGAGAACGTAATCGAGACCGAGACCGGGACCGGGATAGAGAAAGAGATCGACATTATAATGATAGATATAATAGAAAAAATGACCAGAAAAGAAATTATGATGCTGAAGAATCAAATACAGAATATCGATCGTACAAACGACAAGATTTAAGAAGATCAAAAGATTATGAAAAAGAAAACAAAAGGAAACAAGAAAAAGACAAAGTTATAGATTCAGAAATGGGGAAGAAACAAGAAACAAATGCTGCTGACGAGGCATTAGAAAGACAAAATCGAACTGTCGAGTTATTAACATCAAGGACAGGTGGTGCTTATATTCCACCTGCAAAATTACGTTTGATGCAAGCTGAAATCACCGACAAATCTGGAGCTGCGTATCAACGTATTGCATGGGAAGCTCTTAAAAAATCTATACATGGTCATATTAACAAAGTTAATATTAGTAATATTGGACTTATTACACGAGAACTTTTAAAAGAGAACATTGTTAGAGGTAGAGGTTTGCTTGCTCGATCTATTATTCAAGCTCAAGCAGCTTCGCCGACTTTTACCTCTGTTTATGCAGCCCTCACAGCAATTATTAATTCTAAATTTCCCAATATCGGTGAATTAATACTGAAACGTCTTGTAATACAATTCAAACGTGGTTTTAGAAGAAATGACAAACCTCTTTGTATATCTTCGGGAACATTTATCGCACATTTAGTAAATCAAAGAGTAGCGCACGAGATCTTAGCTTTAGAAATTCTGACTTTGTTAGTAGAAACGCCAACAGATGATTCTGTAGAAGTGGCGATTGCATTTTTAAAAGAATGTGGAATGAAATTAACTGAAGTTTCCAGAAAGGGTATAGAAGCTATATTTGAAATGTTAAGAAATATATTACACGAAGGACAATTAGATAAAAGAGTACAGTATATGATCGAAGTCATGTTTCAAGTTCGAAAAGATGGTTTTAAAGATCATGAGGCTGTTCCAGAAGAACTCGATCTTGTGGAAGAGGAAAATCAATTTACTCATCTAGTGACGTTAGATGAAGCAACTGATTCCCAGGACATATTGAATGTTTTTAAATTTGATGCAGAATACGTAGATAATGAGGATAAATATAAACAATTGAGTAGAGAAATATTAGGTTCAGATGTGAGCGGTTCAGAAAGTGAAGAAGACGACGAAGAAGAATCCTCAGATGAAGACAGCAGCACTGCTGTAGTGGAAGGAAAAGAGGATGTGATTGTAGATAACACAGAAACAAATTTAACAGCACTTAGAAGAACAATATATTTAACGATACATTCGTCGCTAGACTTTGAAGAATGTGCACATAAATTGATGAAAATGCAATTAAAACCTGGCCAAGAAACTGAACTTTGTCATATGTTTCTAGATTGTTGTGCCGAAATGAGGACATATGAAAAATTTTTTGGGCTTTTAGCCGGCCGGTTTTGTGCCATTAATAAGATATATGTTACACCGTTTGAGCAAATCTTTCGAGATTCATATCACACAATACATCGTTTAGATACAAATAAGTTACGTAATGTATCAAAGTTCTTTGCACATTTATTGTTTACTGATTCTATATCATGGGAAGTGTTATCTTGTATAAAATTAACCGAAGAAGATACTACAAGCTCTAATAGGATATTTATCAAAATTCTATTTCAAGAACTATCAGAGTATATGGGACTATCTAAATTGAATCTACGTGTTAAAGATGTTACATTACAACACGCATTCGAGGGTTTATTTCCTAGGGACGATCCAAAAAATACCCGATTTGCTATCAATTTTTTTACGTCCATCGGTTTGGGCGGACTTACGGACGACTTAAGAGAACATTTAAAATCTCATCCAAAACCCACAATAATACCTGCTCTGGAACAGAAACCTGAAAGTGTTTCAAATTCTGATGATTCTTCTACTTCTAGTTCAAGCACATCCTCGTCGTCGTCTTCTTCATCTTCATCTAGTAGTTCAAGTTCAGATGATTCTGATGTATCTTCAGATGAACAAACGAAAAAAGAGAAAAAGAGGATGAGAAAAGAAAGGAAAAGAAAACAGAATACAAAAGAAACCAAAAAGAAGCATAAGAAGAAAGAGAAACATAAAGTGAAAAAAGCTAAAACTAAATAACATTTATTGTATAAATAATAATCAATAAATATATGTATGCTCCTACTGACACTCATATCTATAAGATATTTGTATACAAAAAAAGCATTTGAATGCTTGATAACATGTATAGGTAAATACATAAAATATTCCTCAATTTCAATAAATATATTTTCAACAACAATCTTAGCTTAAAAAACATAAATATATCTTTAAGTAATAAATGTAACATATTTTACCCTTTCATTGCGTCGCTGAAAATAAAGAAAACATTAAAAAGTATACTTATGCGGCTACTGATTGACATAATCAATTAGTATCGGGCTACACAGTCATTTTATTCGCTCAAGGCATAATTTACATTCCTTAAAAGAATAATAGAGCTCTTATTTGTGTAACCAAAATACTATCATAAAGCGTAATACGCACGGTATATTATGTTTATTCTGACACTGAATACAGAATAGCCGGATGCAGTTTTATGCATGTGGGTGTGTAAATCGTGTAGACTATTTTGACGGGGAGATCACGTGATTAAATACTCAGTCGCCGCCACTACTGCTGCCGTCGTCCGACTAACCAGCCGATACTATGCCACAAACGGTAGATACGCAGACTCAACCGTTCCACATCTTTTGGAAGCAAGCGCGGTCTGGAACGAGATCTGTGACGTGCATATACATGTGTATCACACACTAACTTAATAGATATCAGAGTACGATAGAAACGAAAACTGCTAACGTGGTAGATACGGAGCGCGGTAGGAGGCCAAGCGTAATGCTTGGTCGGTGGAAGAAGCGGTGTTAACGAGGGGGATATACATAGTGAACTTTGTTTAACGATGTGATGTTTGTGTAGTATGAAAACTGTGTAGAGAGTTTATGATAACTGTTTGACGTTGAAAACACACGAGTGACAAAGACGTAATACAATGCATATATACGAAATAAAGAACATAATACTCTGTATGGTTAGAGAAAATATACCATGATATGAAGGCCCTCTAAGGCTAAGGACACTGGTGCTATCTCCTCGTGTTTACATATGCATATGATCGTGGTGTATGCGTACACATGTGTGCAAAAAAACAACGAGGTGGAGTATTTGTACCACAAAAAAGACATACTGAAGGAAAGAAAAAGGGTGGGGGGGAGGGAGGGAGGAAGGAAGGAAGGGACAGAAGAATACATGCATACAACCAGCGAAACCGTCTTGTTATGAGATACGCAAGTACACGCACTTAGTGTTTTAATTATATTTGTATCACGTATCGGCTACGAATGACCGGAGTGTGGATAATCAGCATTGATTCCACGTTGTTTGCGATTAACATCGAGCAATGCCATAAAAAAGATGTGCATTTATCCGAGTGGTTGTTCGTTTCTCGTTTGGTGTGCGATCAATACGTCACTTCATCGCAATGTGCTAAGTCGACCTGTTGTCTAACGATGTTACTTATCATGGTGATAATATTCATCGATCGAACGTATCATCAATTTAATTATCATAACAAATAGTAAAAATCGGTATAATTTGTCATTTTGTTATTATCGTAAAGTGTACGACAGTAACAACGACAGAGTAGTGTCAGTGGTGTCGGTGGTAGTGACAGTGGCGACGACAGTGGCGGTGACTGTGACGGCGGCGACAGCGACAGTGGTGGTAGAAATAGCTGTAGCCTGTAGCGGTGGCGGTGGCGGTCGAATGGCGGTCGCGGTGGCGATCGCGATAGCGACTATAGCGACGGTAGTAACGATAATATCAAAGACAGTGACGATAGAAACAACGGCAGTGATATGCATCAGCTGAGAGGATATATCGTATTAAAATAACACGAAAGATGGAAAAATATGCGAACGAGATCAATAAAAGATAGAAAGAGAAAAAAATGAATCGTGATTAACCGCCACTTGGGTGTTTATGAAGAAAACTGGTAAATAAATAAAGTGTAATAAACGGAGAATTATAATAAAAAAAGGGGTCTCAATTTATACGTTGGTTAACACAGTGGTGATACATCATTATAAATATATATATGTATATATATATATCAGTATAATTCAGTTGTTCAAGCAGAAACGAAATTATCATGTGCATGGAAGCGACGTTGCAATGGACAATAGATTGTGGATAATAGATAGTTGAGAATCCGTTGTGTTGAATATAATATTACATCAAAGGGTAACAGACTTCGAAAACATAGATACAGGTTAAGTTTATACCCATCTCGCGTGCCAAAAAAGAAGCAATGAGAATACTTCATATCTTTGCTTACTAGCGTTGTTTTTCCGCTTGTATACGTGAGTTAAATGAACAATAACGTTGAATTAAGTGATTACAAAGTGAGTGAATGTGGGTTTCAATGCGTTGGTAGGTGTTGAGATACACCTATATTATAAATCATATAAAATAGTGTGGTATGTCAGAAGTACTCTCAGATATTTCGTACAACGACCGAACCTGCTATATTCTTGAATCTTAGCACACGCGATACAAATAATGGAGACGCTATTACCCGGTAATACGAACAATCAATCCTACAGTCCACAACTTAAGACAGTCTTAAAGACATATCAGCTATCCGCTGTAAAAAGCTTACAGGGTCCGAGTTCGGCCCTGCTTGGTATGGACTGCAAGAGTTTATTGCAAGAACAGACATCTTGTTACTCCCCTTCAACACGTTCGAATAATTGTGTCCTTGATTCAGCATCAGAACAGACATCGGTGAAAGATATCGAAAAGAATAATAATCCATCGATAACACCAATTATCCCGTGTAAAGTTCGGAGAACTGATCAACCGCTGGAAGATTCAGACGAGGACCCTCAACTAGAGCGACCAAAACCCATTTGTGAAAAAAGAGAATTGGAATTTCAAATACCTATTTTAACTGCACCCGACCAAAGTTGTTCCGAAAGATGCGAGACAATTTTAGAAGGCGAACGAATATCTTGTTTTGTTGTAGGAGGTGAAAGGAGGTTATGTTTACCACAGATCTTGAACACAGTTTTACAAGAGTTTTCGCTACAACAAATCAATCAGGTTTGCGACGAATTGCAAATATATTGTTCACGATGTACACGAGATCAGTTAGAGGAACTTAAGCATTCAGGAATTTTACCACGTAATGCTCCTTCCTGTGGCCTTATCACCCAAACAGATGCCGAAAGGCTTGTCAGTGCTTTACTTTTACGGACAGAATCGTGCGATCCTCCTCAAATCAGCCAAAATCAGGATAATGAAAAAAAAATGTTAAGTAAAAATGATAGCAATGAGGAATCTATCATCAAATTTAAAGTGTACCATGAGTGTTTTGGTAAATGTAAAGGTATATTTGATGCAAACTTGTTTGAGTCTGATAATTCTGTGTGCATCGAGTGTATTGAATGTGGCTGCCAATTCTCGCCGCAACGGTTTGTGAGACATGCTCATAGATCTCTTGAAAATCGTACCTGTCATTGGGGCTTTGATTCTGCAAACTGGCGATCTTATTTGTTACTTTCAAGAGATCAAGAACATTACAACAAGTCCCTTACTTTATTTCGAGAATTAAAAGAAAAACATCATACATTGAGTTCTAAAAGAAAATCAGAGGTATTGTATATTAACGTTATCTTAACAAAATTTGTAGTATTTATTTTACCTTTGCAGATACATTATTCTAAATTTGAAAATGATTAACATAATTAGAAAAAATAATATCTTTTATATTGTATCTATGAGATAGTGGATTATATATGAAATCATTTGTGTATTGAAATATAAGCAGAATAGAAATGAGAAAATAAAGAACCCTTTTCCAGTTGCGGCATGATACAGAAAAATTAACTAAGCGAATTAGAAAGGATCTAGGAAGAGATGATTGTCCTGGAATTTATAATGGAAATGGCTTAGGCATGTATCATCCTGTATCTCAGGTAGCTAATGCAACTGATCCATATCTGCAAATGCAATGGGCAGTTTTTGAGTTAGCAGCTAGAGGAGCATCAGCTTTTAGACCTTGGAATACTACAAATCCTTGCAAGCATAAAGATAGGTGAGTATTAAAGATATATTTAAAATGACACAATAGGAAATTCTGAAAAAAACTGTAATACATTATAACAATAATTTTCTTTGAATAGTTCATCATTGGTGCCTGCATACCTTAGTAGAGGTCCACCTATATTGCAACACCCAGAGCGTGTGGTTCCTCTTTCTGAGTGTAAACGTTTTGAACCACACTTTCAACCAAATGTAGCCTTAGCACCTATACCTGCACCATCAGTGCCTGTAGTACTTCCACCGTCTGCTCATCATCAACGACGACACCATCATGAACAGAAACGTTATAATCATCATCTATCAAGCCCTAACGAGAAAAAAGAAGTTTCGTCAGATAGTGTGAAACTTGAAAAAACATCTCCTAGTTCTGGTTCTGGTATTGGCACTTATCCTGCATTCCCTGCGTATGCGCCTGGAAGCGATAAGAAAGAATTGCCTCAGAAAAGTAAACAGGAAATTGGCGAAGAAGAAGAAAGTAGTGCTGCTGTAACATCTTCCACGATAAATGTAGAACCACCGTCAACTGAAATTGGAACTTCTTCCTTAGAAAGCGATTCCGATTCAGAAGGAACAGCGGCAATGGATTTGGAAGAAAGATTATTAGCTTTGGAGGTACCACAAGATGTTCTAGAATTGGCACGACGTATAGTTTCAGAGAATGTACAATTACGACGTCATCGACGTTCGGATGCACGTGAAATATCTCGATTGCGTAATCAATTGCAAATACAGCAAACACAATCATCAAATGGTGATGATAAGAAAGAAGAACCGGCAAATGCAAGTATAGCAGATAGTACAGAAGGTAGCGAAGAAACGGAAGCTACAGTACCATCAAATAACAAAGAGTCTGAATCTGTTGTTTTAGCAGTTAGTAAAGAGTAAAATCAATGACTAGAATTTTTTAATTATTTAATACAAAACTGCTCAGCAATTTTTTGCAACGCTCATCTTTTGGCTAGATAAGCGTGCATTAAATTTAGTACTAGCTATAATAATGATAAATTCTAAATGAGTAAAAACTGTTTAGGTTATGTGATATATAGAGAGCCTTTAACGTTGTAACAGTTAATTTGAAATTGTAATTGTAATCATATTTCATTGTGTCGATTTTAATTAAAATCAAATGTAGATATTGTAATATATGAGAAAGGAAAATAAGTTAACCAAAATTTATCACATCATTTAATGATTATACTTAATGGTCATTGCATAAGTTTCTCATGCATATTAAATATGCATATGTGTGTCACAAAGATTTTTATGATCATTTGTTTAATTGTAAAATTAAACAAAGATCGGAAAATAAGAGATTAAATTGCTTTTCATTTACTTTTTTTTATAGTCATGATTGCATAATGTAAATATGTCAAGTATCATAGATGTATGATTATATTAATAATATTGTCATGCAAAATATTGCTAAAGTACAAAAAACCTTTAGGTGCTATATTGTTATATTAGAAATGTTTTAAGCATAAATCTAGGTGTATTTCAACAGTTCGTACTATCGTAATGTCAAGATCTTGATTAAATTTTAGTTATCTTTATAGTGTTGAATAAAGGTGAAATGTTATATTTCACTAATAAACTGAATTTGAATGATTATTTATAAATAAAGTAAGTTAACTATTTAAACATTTGGAAATTGTAAAATTATTATTATTCAAGTGATATTAGTGTAAATCGTGAAACTTTAACTTATATAAACAATTGATAATTTTTTATACGTTGATTAATTTCTTAATGATTTTGTAACAGCAAAATTAATTCCGATTCCTTAAACATAGATTTATCATATTATGAACCAATTGAATTAAAAATGAAGTGAACATTATTTTAACAAAAATACGAAAAATCGCACTACGATCTTATTTTTGGTTCTTTATTCTTACATTGTATAATATCCCCTGGTAATAACCATTTTATTAACGATCTTTATTTTTAATAAAAGTATTAATATGAGATACTATAGCAACTATTGATATTTATTTGAAACATTGTATTAACATATCGTTTTAGTTGCATTTAAAATTTGAAAAAAGTTCAGTCTTATAAGTTTTAAAACTTCAAATGTGATTTATTAACTTGATCATGTGATAAAACTTGATCAGTATTTAAAGGGGGTTCTAAAACAAAATTATAAATACAATTCTGACGTTCATCGAATACCATTCTTAATTTTTGCTCATTATTGTTGAAAGATACATGCAATAAAAGAAGAGAATACAATTTTTCAAGCATACTTTTGAAATTAATACTGACTTAGAGATATACCTAGATAAGCACTAAACGTTTAAGAATGAAAAAAAAAAACACATGAATATGGAAATGTCAAGATATAATAAATATTATAAATATTTATGTAATATATATTTATATTTGTATATATCTTTAACATGCATTTTTGTAACTTTATTGATTTTTCTTGTACATGTATTTTCTTTATTTCCTGAAATTTTTTGTCATTGTTTTGCTTGTTTTAGCTAACGGTATGTGAATTTCAATGCAAATTTTAAGAATTTAATTATACCATTATTAAATTATAATTGTAAAAAAAACATGATCTTGTTTTTAAAAAGACTAATTAAAAATTCCAAATGTATAAAACATTTAAAAAATGAAAAGTATATTAAAAAGGTTGTTTTATAAGCTTCAAAAGCTTTTTTTGTATTGAATACATACTAGGAAGTATATAAATCTTACACCTATTTGCACACTATAGCAGAAAAACAGTTAGTAATTATACATTTGTGTATTTGAAATATACATGTATACATATTTCGAGACTGCTTGGAAGATCTCTTATCATATACATTTTTCTAACATAACAAGAATGCCAGGAATTCTTGTAATCTCATCTAAGCACAAGGCATAAGAAATCTTCAATTTCATCATCTATAAAATTTGCTTTTCAAATGAAATCAATCATCCATTTTTCAAAGCAATCTGTTAGCAAGAAAATTAACGAAGGTGTATGAGATATATGATTGATTATGTAGGATAAATACATTCATTATTATACTTCATACAACATTTGGTCAATATATAATAACATATGCGCGTTACATCATATTGTTGTAATAATAATATAAGCATCCCACCTAAGGTGAAAAAAAAAATATATAATAATTTATGATTTTCATACATACTCGGTTTACTATAGGTATGTAGAATATATGATAAAATAGTACATTGTATGAATTGCATACAACTTGATTTTTGAATATATTTGAGATCAGCGTATGTTTAAAAGTTTCGATAAATCATGTAACTGCCATGACTAAATATGTATTTTAATTTTTTTTTTTTTTGAATGGGTGATGTATTTTAAGTTCAAATGGGAAATTACAAATAAACACATAATATGCGACGCCTGACTTTATTAAAAACATTTATGCACGATGCACGACGTGTTGATGTGGATTTCGTTCGTTCGAATAAATAATTAATCTGCCAATCGGTTCTTACTGATACAAAGGTGATTTATAAAAAAGTGATGTTATCGAATGTTTCATAAATATGATACGTCGTTAATTGTTATGATATTTAGTTCATCAAAACTTAAAAAAAAAAGAGGAATATTGTCACGAACAGTAGTTAATGTAATTATTATTATTATACTGTACGTATATATTTTAATATGCGTAAATAACAAATGTATTGATATTTAAGAATTCGTTCGATTTTCATTTCAAACGTTAGACTATATCATGCTAGACTATAATTCTGTGCTCATGTTAGAAACGAGTTAGGAAATATGAAATACTAATCGAACGAGTATCAGTTCTTGTTTTCTTGTCTTTTTATAACGTCCACGAATCGGGATTCAAGAAAATAAACTATTGAGTGATAGATAAATCGTTCGTTGTGTTAAATATTCACATGCAATAAAAAAGAACAAGCATTCGACGCAAATTACATCGTAGAGCTAGGATGAATTTAATACATGATAATTGTAAGATAGCGTATCTTTAGAATGTTGCTTTGTGAGTGAACTTATTAGTACTAATAACTTAGCATGTTTACTGGTCTCTCGATAAAATATATAAGTAGTGTGCACTTATTCGAACATAACATTAGAATGTTTTGTTTTCAAATCATCGCAGAAAAAGTTTGTTATGTCATTCGAACAGATCAACAAATACTTGTTGGCTATTTTAAAGGGCTTCTAATAACGTAAAAATATTTTCTATTTTACTGGGAGGGATATAATTCGTACACAGTGGCGGGATTCAAATTTCCTCACCCACTCTGTCAATAGTTTATTTTCTTAATTGATGCACTTACTCTTCGATAGATAAAATAATAGATTTTAGAAGATAAATGTATTTCATACGACACATAATTAATAGATATTCTTAAGAAACGAAACGTGTCATTAAATATGTATAAAACAAGTGCAATATTAAAGTACAAAACTCGATATTTCTTTTGAATTTTGTATATTTTACAAAAAAAAGGGCAAGGAAAAAAGTATGTGAATAGATTTTTTCGACACTTTAAATTATTAACTGTAAGAATTTCGAAAATGTTTTATCATCAAAATCTTTAACGAGTCTTAAGACCCCCTACAGTCCCTGATTACGTACTTATAATAGCGTTGAAGTTTTTAATATTATACAATTTTGTAATCACTTTAATCATTATCTTAAATTTTGTATGATCGAATTTCTGTATTCGAACGACGAACTCCATATCGTTGTGGATCGCTATATAACAATAGATATTAAGTAGCTCCAGTAGTAGTCTGATTGATCTTTGGCATAATTTTAGAGTAAATGTACATATAACTATTTTCCAAGAAAATACTCATTGTTAAATGTATATGAAGGGAAACTGTTATAGATAAGGCTATTATCGTCATTTATATTAATTGAGATAATAAACAACGTTTCGATTAAACGAGCTCCTCAGACTGACATCTGAAATGACCCAGTTTTGACTCCCTTTAATTCTATTTTCTTTTTAAATTAGCACAAGACTAAACAATTATTAAAATAATGGTTTGATAAACATTCATTTCAAAAAGATCGCCATGAATTAAATTTTTTTAAATTCGATCCTAGCGCCATCTCTTCAAAAGTGGCTCAAACTACTCAACGACTTACCGATCGATTTTCCTAACAAGGGAACACTAGCGCCGACTATCGGAGAACAGCGGAAACTACGGTAAGTCGGTAAGTAGCTTCAGTAACTTGTCGAGTAGTTTCAGCCGATTTCGTATAGATGGAGATAGGATAGAATTTTAAAAAATTTAATTTACGGCGGTCTTTTTGAAATGCAAGTTTGTCAAAAAATTATTTTGATAATTTTTCAAATCTGCGCTGATTTAAAAAGAAAATAGAATGAAAGGATTGTATCTTTTTAATTGTAAACTGGTAAAGCAAGCACGATTGTCATATCGACTTTGGTCTGTACATGCGATCCTAACCACACTTGGTGGTATCAGGGACCCCCACTATTATGACATTTGACTTTAATTAAATCTTACGTAGATTTTTAAATAATTATGTTGCTACATAAAGGAAATAAAATTATGGATCCTTCTTTAATTGTGTACTATTTATTACTTGTATAAAGTCTCTATTTTCAATTGCATATCAAATTTTAGAACGATTATTTACTATCAAACGTTGATTTTGCGCATAATATTGGATGTCTTTGAAAGTCGTTTTTATATTTATAAATAGATTATACGTAAGAAATGTGTTGAATTGTAAATACATTACATTTTGTATATCTTTTTTAATTTGCTTACTAATGTAAATTTGATTTTAATAACCAGATTAACTACATGTATGTTCATGATATTAAGGATACATGAACTCTATTTCTTCATATAATCATGCTTTTCACATTTTATTTTTTGCACATGTACATTTTTGCAGTTTAAAGTATTAAGAATTGCAAAACAATTGTTTTACCTTCACATTAAGGCATATTTTTTATATAGCCATTTAAATGTAAAGCATATAAAGCAGAAAAAAATGAGTGCTTTGTTAAAAAGAAATGATAATAATTCAGATCATGCTATAGCAGGGGCTGCTAGTGGTTTTATAACAAGGTTTTGTTGTCAACCTTTAGATGTTATAAAAATTAGATTTCAGGTAAAAACTTCATGTATGTTACATGTGCTAAAAGTTGATGTATAATTGCATTCACATTATAAACATCTTTAATATTGTATATAGTTACAAGTTGAACCAATTACTGATCATCATGTTAGTAAATACCAGTCTTTAGTTCAAGCATTTTATTTAATAACTAAAGAAGAAGGTCTTTTTGCACTTTGGAAAGGACATGTTCCTGCACAATTACTTTCTATTGTATATGGAATGAGTCAGGTAGTAATATTAAAAAATTTGTTTTTACAGGTAATATTGTTCAAAGTTTTCATTGACTAATTAAAGGGGTAGTTATACTGATTAACAATTTGGTAATTATTGTGATATTTGAATGAATACTGCTTTAAACAAATGACACTCATGTAACATGAGATAAATTATATTGTTATATGAAAACTTTAAACAACATTAGCTGCATTATCATTTTATTTGAACTTCTTGTATAAGTATAGAAATTATAATATTGACACTTTACAGTTCTATTCATTTCATATGTTCATGAAAGTAACAGACAGTTTTCCACCATTGAATGAATGGATATATTCAACAAAATTTGTAGCTGGAGCAGGTGCTGGTTTGGTTGCTACAGTTATATCATTTCCTTTTGACACCATAAGAACTAGATTAGTGGCACAATCAAGTAAGCATCAAGTATATAAGGGAATTTTTCATTCTTGCAGGCAAGTTTCAAACGAATAGTTACTTTTTATAAACATACTCTTAAAATTATTATATAAAATGTATTTTCAGTTGTATTGTGCGACATGAATCTCCAAGGGTCTTCTTTTATGGATTACTACCATCATTATTGCAAATTGCACCACATACTGGGTTGCAATTTGCATTTTATGGATTTTTTACTGATATTTATAAAAAATATTATAATGAAACAGATAATAATTTTTATAACTCTATGATGTCAGGTAGTGCAGCTGGGTTATTAGCTAAAACTGCAATATATCCACTTGATCTTAGTAGAAAAAGATTACAAATACAAGGGTTTAAGCATGGTAGAACAGGTTTTGGCACATTTTTTGAGTGCAAGGGTCTTATAGATTGTTTAAAAGTTACATTTAAGAAAGAGGGAGTAAAAGGGCTGTTTAAAGGTTTAGTACCAAGTCAATTAAAAGCAGCTGCAACAACTGCATTGCATTTTACCGCATATGAACAAAGTTTAGTAGCAATACAAGCATTAAGATCATATGTTTCCAAAAAGTAGTCATAATATTGATGAATAATAGTACAATATTAGAATATATTATTGATTGTTATATGTACAAATTTATGTATATATGTTAATATAACTTGCATTTGTACAAAAAACTAAATTATATAGATAAACAAAGACATATATACAAAACTAATTTATTTTTTGTATATATTCCAATATGTATTTAGTAGATTGATTAATTTTTATACTTAAGAATACACTTTGTATTTATAGTTGTAGTGGAGAAGGCATTTCATTTGGTTTTCCTTGCAAGACCGCAATTATATTTTTAGCGGTAATTTTTGACATTTCCTCTCGTGTTTCTGTAGCAGCACTACCAATATGGGGTAGTATCACTATAATAGAAAAAATTAATCAGTTTAATCATGAATTCATTGATGTTTCAGTTTCATACTTACCACAATTATCTAAAGTCAGTAATTCACTGTTTAATGGAATTGGTTCAGGAGTCATAACATCTAAGCCTGCAGCTCTAATGGTTCCATTTTTTAAAGCTTCTACTAGAGCAGGTTGATCAACAACCTCGCCTCTACTAATATTTATAAATATAGCAGATCTTTTCATTTTATGAAATGTACTTTTATTAAACATCTGCTTTGTTTCTGATGTTAGAGCTGTTGTGACAATTACAAAGTCACTGTTTTGTAACAGTGCATCAAATTCTACTTTCTCCCCTCCAAATTCAGATGCTTCTGGCTTAATAGTTCTACTTGTATATAATATTTTGGCAACATTAAAGCCTTTGACACATTTTGCTACTTGTCTACCAATGCGACCTAATCCTACTATTCCAACTGTAGATCCAGATAAACCAGGACCACACATCCAAGTCGGTGACCATGCTTTCCATTCACCCCTATGAATCATATTTTAAACAAGAATATTTAAACAAGAAAATTTAATATTTATTAAAGATATATTCTGTTTCATACTTGTAAATAGCTCTGTTTGCTTCTATTAATCTTCTAGATGTAGCTAAAAGTAATCCCATAGTTAATTCAGCTGTTGCATCAGTTAAAATGCCAGGAGTGTAACCAACTTTAATATTCCTTTGTTTTAAAGCCTTTAAATCCAAATGATCAACACCAACTGACATAGATGCAACAACTTTTAATTGTGGACCTGCTGCTTCTAGAACTTCATTGTCTATTTTGTCAGTTAGTAGACAATAAACACCATCTACATTTTGTATTTTTGATAGTAATACAGATCTAGGAATTGGTTCAGGTTTTTCCCATAAAATAACATCATATCTGAAATCAAATAGGAAAAGTATTAAAATCAATGCAACAATGAAATTTGATGTATTTTTTTGATAAGTTTAAGATATAAGAATAAAACACTTATTTAAATATTTAGCAAATATTAACATATTGTATTTATGTACAGCACGTGTATGATTTGTGTATGTATATGTGTAAATGTAACTAAATAAAAAATGATTAAGACGAAGAAAAAATAGTACTTACTGTTCTTTAAGCAAATTTAATCCGGTAGTTGGAATATCTGGACGTGTAACTAAAACTTTTGGTCGACTCATTTTTATTGAATTAATAGCCGTGGAAAACTTCGAACTGTTACGGGTAAAGATTTTGTGAGCGATTAAACGTAGCGAACTTTGACTTGACTGACAAAAGAAAGTAAAGTTAGATAACATCGTGTTCTTTTTCAATAACAATGTAATATTAATATTGTCTCCTATTTTTGTTCATAAGTTTCGGTATCCGGTAATATGAATTGGTAGTAAAGATATAACCTCACGGCTGATGATTATATACATTTTTATGTAAAATTGATATATTTAAATTAAAGCTGTTTATTAAAGCTGATAATACAGTTATTTGATATTATTATATATCAGTTTTTTAAATTAAAAAATAATACTTTATTCACATTGATATATAGTAAGTTATATTATCAATAAATAGGAACTTCAATTTTGTTTAAATTAGAACACTTTGAGTGTTCATAATTTTGTTTAGCCGCCAAAATGGTATTTTTCATTAACATTGCTACAGTCATAGGGCCTACACCTCCTGGTACTGGAGTTATATATCCAGCAATTTCCTTCACACTATCAAATTCCACATCTCCTACTAATTTGTACTTATTGTTTATTAAAACTCTTGTTATTCCAACATCAATAATACATGCTCCAGGTTTGACCATTTCTTTAGTAATCAGACCAGGAATACCAGCAGCTACAACTATCAAATCTGCCAATTTTGTAAACTTTTCTAATTCAATGTGTGGAGTATGACGGTGACATATGGTTGTAGTCATATCTAATGCACCTGTTTCATCTGTAAAATAATTTATTACAAAAATAATTATTAAAAGTTTTGATTCATTTATAGAAACTACAAGTATTACATATTTATGTAACTATTATATGTACAATAATATTATAATAATAATACACCTTTACTATCAGCATGTAAGAGCAGTGCAATTGGTAAACCAACATGTTTTGATCTTCCTACTACCACTGCATTTCTTCCAAATGTTTCTATATTACTTCTGACTATCAATTCTTTCACAGCCAAAGCAGTTGCAGGAACAATGCCACTGCTATTTAATGCTAGACTACCTAGATTTTTTAAATGGAAACCATCAACATCTTTGTTTGGTGCAATTGTTTGACATACTTCCTGTTCATTTATATGCTTTGCTAATGGTAACTGTACAATAATTCCATCTACAGTTTGATCTTTATTTAAGTTATCAATTTTTTGAATAAGCTCTTGCTGCATTATATTTTCTTCTAAGTGAATAGTGTAATTTTCAATGCCTGTAACATGAATATTATTTTAAACATACTTTTGATTTCTTTTTATTTAGTTGATTAGATTTAAATAGTATATTACCAATAAACTTTGCAGCTTTCATTTTTCTTGCTACATATGTCTTACTAGCTGGATGATCACCAACTATTATGGCTACTAATTTAGGCCTTTTTTTAGTTTCATTTATCCAAGTACTCAGACTTGCTTTCAATTCATTCTGAATTTCAGTAGCTATCTGTTTACCATCTATTATTATAGCTTCTTGTCTAGAGAAAATACCATTATTATTATAAGAACCACTTTATGTAGTTTTTTAAATTACTTACAGAACTTTGGAAGTATGTAAATGTCTTAAAGGCGATTGGAAAGTAATTTTTAAAATTTTTCTCCAAGAAAACATTGCAAATATAAAATTATTTAATTATTATAAATGCGTAGAAAATAAACAATATCGAGCTTTTCTTATTAAAATCTTCCGTCGTACTATTGATCTTGTTCTTGTGACTGCAATTTGAAAACCCAATATCGCAATTTCTATAAACAGTATGGTAATATAATACCACAGGTGTACTGAGCGGTACTGATAACAAGTAGTTTATGAGTACTAACCAGAAACATCTAAAGTATTACAGTGAAAGTGGCTATTGTTTTTTATTTTTCGAACGAGTTTCATGGGTTCTATTTCACTTTTCCGTAGAACCGTGCGTTTCATTTAGTCTTATTCTGTGCTTTTACTTGGTGAAAGTAGCATCACAGCAATAACGACATTATTTTGACGAACTGTTTTACATATTTATTATATAAATGACATACTATCATGATAATAAATAAAAACAACAATATTATACGTATTTCAGTATTATGAAAAGAATATGTTATGTCGCGATATTCAAAATATCATTGTTGGTTCGTTGCTGTTTTGCTTACGTAGCTTATACGTGTGGCGGGTCTTTCGATTAAGAGAAACATATGAATTTTTATTAATCTTACACGCAAAACTAAATGAAACATATATTTTTTTTTAATTACAGACACTCGCTAAAGTACATGATGCTATATACCTAATTAAAATAAAAGAATTGGTTTTTTTACATGTTATGATTTTCTTACACGGCTATTTTAGAAACATTACTTTTCAGAAAAAGTTAACACTCTTTGAATCTGAAAAAAAAAGTTCGATGGACTCTTTTTATTCGTAATTTTTTATTTGCATATAGAAAAACCGAATTATTTTTAAACATATCCAATATATTCAGGTCAAAGTCCTTGCAAAGTATGGCAAATTCTATAGGTTAGATCAGTATGTATCCACGTTTGCACGCATGCGTATTCACCGGCATTATTTTACTGCACAGATCTGTATGACTACTGTACATTACTAGCGATTTTGGATACACATTTAATACTGTTTTCTTGGGCGTGTGTACACATAATATTTTAAAAGATGTCACAGTATAGATTATTAAATACTGCCTTTCATTTGTCACATATAAATAAAAATGTTATAGCACAAACAGGTAATTATGAATAAACAAAAGAAGTTATATTTTTCATATTTGGAGATATGAACCTTTGCTCCTTGGTAACTCATGTATGGTTATCATGACTTGTATGTCATACAACAACCAAAATATATATTATGCAAATGTTTTGTCATAATTTCAGCATATGTAGAATTTGAAGAATATATAAAATTTATGTAAATGCTAATAAATTGTATATTTTGATCTAATTAAGCGTTAAGTATTAATATATTTTATGTTACATTGTATAATACACTAATAAAGCAGATTCTGATTGTCTTTCCTTTTGTGATTTATGCTTGAGATACATATATGTATATTGTTTTTCAGCATTATATCAAACATTTAGAACATTTGCTAGCCCAGCTACCATAAAACATTGGAAGTACAAAGTTGTAGACAATGTAGCAGTAATGACTATAGATTCTCCAGGAGTTAAGGTATAGTCTTTAAATTATGTTCATTAAGTGTAAGATTTCTGACTAACATTTTTCATATTGTAGGTAAATACTTTGAATGAAGAAGTATCAAATGAAATTGCAACACTTTTACAAACTGTACAAGTGGATCCTGCTGTAAATTCTATAGTTTTTATAAGTGGGAAGCCAGGATGTTTCATTGCAGGGGCTGATCTTAATATGATACAAGGTTGTAAATTTCCAGAAGATGGAACTAAAATATCTCTTGAAGCTCAAAAACTTTTAAATACCATAGAAAAAAGTCAGAAGCCAATTGTAGCTGCTATTCAAGGAAGTTGCTTAGGAGGAGGCCTTGAGGTACTCAATTTATATAATTTGTAATTTTCACAATTTCCTTTATCTGTTCACATTTAACTAATTCACAATTTCATTTAATTAACATAGGTAGCAATGGCATGTCACTATCGGCTTGCTGTTAATGATACAAAAACCAATTTAGGTTTACCAGAAGTAAAGTTAGGTCTTTTGCCTGGAGCAGGAGGTACTCAAAGATTACCTAAATTAACATCACTCTTTGATACATTAGATATGACCCTTACTGGAAAAATTGTTAAGGCAGTTAAAGCTAAACAAATAGGACTTGTGGATATTTTAGTAAACCGTCTTGGTCCAGGTATTGGAACACCAGAAGAAAAGTATGCCTGTTCTTATTGCTTTAATATATATTTGATAAATCGAGTATTTATTATATATTTCAAATATTTTCAGTACTATGAGATATTTAGAAGAGACAGCTATCAGAACTGCAAAAGATCTTGCAAATGGAACTTTAAAAGTTCAAAGAGGTCCTAAAACTATGACTGATAAGCTGATGAATTATGGTTTATCTTTTCAATTTGTTAAGGATCAGTTATTTAAAAAAATAAAAAATGAGACAATAAAGAAAACCGGGGGTTTGTACCCTGCTCCACTTAAGATTATAGATGTAATACGTACTGGTCTAGATAAGGGACCAGCTGCTGGTTATGAAGCAGAGGCTAAAGCTTTTGGTGAGCTAATTGTTACACCACAAAGTAAAGGTCTTATAAGTTTATTCTTTGGGCAAACTGTGTGTCAAAAGAATCGTTTTGGTACACCTAAAAATGCTATTAAGTAAGAAAATTTTTTATGTTCGTTACATTATAGACAATTAAATTTTTGCGGAATAATACTTTTCGAGTATTTCAGAAAAATTGCTGTTGTTGGTGCTGGTTTAATGGGAGCAGGTATTGTTCAAGTAAGTATAGATAAAGGCTATGATGTAATTATGAAAGATACAAACCAAGCAGGTTTGTACCGCGGAATGAATCAGATACAAAAAGGAATGGAGACTGCTGTTAAAAAGAAGAAGTATTCCGGGTTGGTTTTAAATACATTTTCCATTATATGCATAATACACATATAAAATACTACATTTTATTATGAACAATTTCTTTTACTTACTTTTAGTATTCAAAGAGATAAATATCTCGCGCGTCTAAATGCTACCTTAGATTATAGTTCATTTAAAAATGCGGATATTGTAATTGAAGCTGTATTTGAGGATATTGCAGTGAAGCACAAAGTCATAAAAGAAATTGAATCGGTTGCACCGCAGCATTGTGTAGTTGCAACAAATACATCGGCAATTCCAATCAACAAAATTGCTGCTGGTAGTAGTCGACCGGATAAGGCAAGTATCATATATGATATTAAGTATCATATTTATAAACGCAATGTAATAAAATGTGTATTTACAGGTAATTGGGATGCACTACTTTTCTCCAGTAGACAAAATGCAATTGTTGGAAATAATAACTCATAAAGGTACATCGACTGAAACTATTAAAACTGCAGTTGATGTAGGTTTAAAGCAGGGTAAAGTAGTTATTACTGTGGGAGATGGTCCTGGATTTTATACAACACGAATTCTGTCTGCTATGTTATCCGAGTCTATTAGATTAATGCAGGTAAATTTTCAAAAATTGTCGAATTAAACAAAATGATAATTATGATAAATATTGGAATAGGAAGGTGTAGATCCTACGGATTTGGATAGTATGATTAAAAAGTTTGGATTTCCTGTTGGACCGGCAACTTTATCAGATGAAGTGGGTGTTGATGTTGGTGCTCACATAAGTGCTCATCTTGTAAAGGCTTTAGGTGAACGATTTAAGGGTGGAGATGTAAATATACTTAGTGATATGGTTAAAGCTGGTTTTCTAGGTATCTATGCTTATCTATTTTTTTATGTATACTACTTTTATATTATGTATCTATTTAACGTATGAAATATATCATTTTAGGACGAAAATCTGGCAAAGGAATATTTATATATGAAACTAACACGAAGCGCAAAAACATCAATCTCGAAGCATTAGATATCTTAAAGGCATATAAATGTGAACCAAAAGGAAGTACTTCCGTCGAAGACCGTCAATTAAGAATGGTGTCCAGATTTGTTAACGAAGCAGTACTTTGTTTAGAAGAAAATATTTTGGCCAATCCGGTAGAAAAAATTTACATCGCAATATTAATATATTTAACTTTGAATATCATATTTTATTCCATTTAAATATCTTTTATTTTTACAGTTGGAAGGTGATGTAGGAGCAGTTTTCGGGCTAGGATTTCCTCCGTTTACCGGTGGACCTTTCCGTTGGGTAGATTCTTATGGGGCTCATAAATTAGTTAAGAAAATGGAAGAATTCCAAAGTCACTACGGCGATGCATTTAAACCATGTCAGATGTTGCATGATATGGCATCCGATTCAACCAAAAAATTCCATAAACAGTTGTAAATGTGCCTATAGAACAAAAACGGTGACAGTACGGCGAGATTCCTATAGGCTTATAATGTTTGCGATTATGATATTTGAATGTATCTGCGTGTATTTGATTAATTGTACTGTTCACGTTTGTAGAACCTTCGGCTGGTATCAATGCAAAGTAGTTTATACATGTATATTTATTACAGAATTTTTATACGATATATATTTTGCAAAAAGGTTTATAATATTTTTACAAGATAATATAAAAATATAAACTCTATATGTATGTACATTATTTTGAAACACACGCGTGAAATGTGTGTTTATTATATATGAAACCATAAAATATAGTTTATTAAAACATGTGTTTATAACAAATTTTCGCATCGAATAAACTAATTATTTCTTTTGCATAGGTAACAACAGTAAAAACGCGTAAGTGAACATCATTCCGTATCGGGGTGCTCAATAACGAATAACTGGTACGCGCATACGAATAAATTTATCGCCTAATTACCATTTTTTATTTCCTTTGAATTATGAAAGAAGTAGGAGTGGAATTCTGGTTCTTGATGCAATGTTTAGAAGATATTGCACTTTCAGATGCGCACCTGCTAATGATAACAAAACGATTCAAATAATCTCTGTTAGACAATAATGGGTAAGATGAATTTAACTTTGATAATATTAACAAACTTCCACTAATAAATTCTAATTGTTAATTTTAATTTAATAGTATACTAGAAAACAAGATAATGCCTTTGAGTTGAAGAAATATTTTAATATTATTTTCATGGTAAATATCTTTCCTTAAACAAATTTTAACTATATGCAAAACTTTATTAATTATTTAGCTTTAATTTATAAACCTAACGTTTTCAATTAATTACATGTTGCTTGAGTAAAATTTACAATAATAAAGATAGATTCTACTAAAAACAAACGAGGGTAATCAAGAGGACATTTTACATCATCTACCGGTCCCACACCTGTTTGTGACATTTACAATATTAAAAGAGATCGAGTCCTTGGCTGATGCAAGAAACCACGATGTTTCGTGAGAAGCCATTAACAAGGATCATGTCTTTAAGTTGACCTGCACAATTTTGTTCAATAGCAGCTTGTCAAGAATATGGATAATAAGTTGCATATTACATTTTACTTTTCAAACATCTTACGATTTCTTATTGTTTAAACAAAATGCAATCGGTACGCTATTCGACTAGAATTTACAGTATAGAGATTATTAGTCATCAAGGTATTAATGAATACTGGTACAAGGAATAAACATTTTTGAGACAATACGAAGAATACAAACGAATAATAAAAAATCTTATCTCACTCGTGAGTTGCACTTAACGTTACCGTACTTCTTTCCTTACAACTGTAAAGAAGGTGATAATAAATACAATGGAAATTTTTACTTTTTCTCGTTAATCATATTTATGCTCGAAACATGTGTGGATACTTTTGAAATAAATTACGTTAAATAATGATAACGAAATACTTATGAAACTTTTAACACATTGACGGTCGAATATTTTATGGAATCAATGACTCTTGTAATTTTATATTTCTTTATACATTGAAAAGAAGTATACATAAGAAATAATATATCAAGAGCAGAGAAAATGTCACGTTTGCTGTAAAAATGAAAAGTACTGAAAGGCAAAAACTGTATCGTTAAAATCTAATTGTTTGGCAAAAGGATGATATATTTATTAACAAATCTGTTAAAAATGGAGTACAGACGTTTCAAATTCGAAAGCAAAGCCGGTAGATTTACCGAAGAATAAGATCGTATCCGCGTAAGCACTTGAACGCGATCAAACTCTTTCTATTATGCGTGATGGAAACTTTTTGCAATGATATAAGCAGTTGTTCGCTACATTATACCATGCTTAAGCTATCATATTCGATAAGTTTTATTTTGTACCCTGATGCACCATTGAAATATTAAAAGGTAACCAGACTTTTATATTTTCAGTTGCAGAAATTGAATCTTCAAAGTCCAGGAAGCTTTTGTTGCAACGCGTATCTATTCACAGTAAGTGAAAATGAATAATTTTTTTGATATTTATGGATATTTTATGGATATTTTCAATATTAATTAGTGGTCTCGAGGAACCCCCTCTTTGGGCTTAGTTTACTAGGATACTAGGTTGCCCATATAAGAGTTAGAAAAAGGGGGAACATATTCTGCTATATTAGATTATCATTTTGCTTTTATAAATTGCAATAAATTACGTCATTAATGGATAGTACATTATAATTCAAGTAATCGATGTGCGTGTCGATTTTGTAGTTAGAAACCGGTCGTCTTTATCCTCGTCATCGGTCATCTTGATTAATGACCTTCCATATTAGAATTTAAACTTTTTTGTATAATTAAAAATCTAAGAATACGTGACGTATGGTTTTTTTTAGGATTACACAATTTACAACTGAAAAAAAGTGATTTAAATACTTATACTCCTTTTACTATTGCAAAGCTTGTTTCCTTACTTGTTGCAAATTAAATGACGTTTATAATTCAATCGAAACGGTGCTAGATAATTTTCTAAGAAACGTTAACTACGGTAATTAATAAAAATGCCGATTCAGCTCATTATTCCGTCAATCGTAAATGGAAATTAATGACGAGCTCATCAGTTGAAACGAATAAGTATTAACTTATAATACTGTATTTATTAATAATACTAAACGGGTAGTAGAGAAAAAAGAAAAGTTTGTATATTAATGGGTTAAATGAATACAGGAAAGGCAAGTATGTCAGGTAATTAAACTGTACTTGCAATAATTCTACGAAAGTATACAAGTCGTTTAATTAATCTCTCATCGTATAGAAAAATCTTTAAAACTTATCTTTATACAGTATAAAGTCATGTTGTCCGGCAAGTCGGACGATATATACATTACATGATCTATAATTAACACGTAAAACTAGTCGACAATAATGAAAACAGCATAACTTTAGCATTTTTGCATAGCCGTTATATACATAATTCATAAAAACTGTTTTTTGCACTTTTTAAATAAATACTCTTTCTCGGTCAACGCGCTTATGCATCACAGATCACAGACACACTTAGGTACTTGGTTCACGGACGGTAAGAAAGCCTCGTTTCCTGACTTATCCACCGCTCCTCGTGCCTTAAAATCCATTATCATTATTTCCTTTCTTTTTTTTTTTCTTAAGTACTCTTCCTGGTTAACTCATTCCAGATAATCACAACACGACACACGTTACGAAGGCAAATGGGAGCTCACTTCTGTTTGCAGTCGTTCACAATTTCAAAGTAGACATTTTCCCCGCCAATCAATTTCTAGACCTCCTAGAGGGCATCTACAGTTATTGCATTGATTAAGATTTCACTTTTGATCGTTTATCAAAAGGTAGTTTAATATGATTAATATCTCCACGATCTTGGAATGGTTTTCAATCATGTGGTAATTCGAAGCTCGATTCGTAGCTTTGTTATAATAGGTACGATTAAAGCATCACTGTTTGGGTATTCTTTAAGCCGCAAATCGCGGTGGAATTATTTAGTGAGTGGGCGCTGCGTTATTCGTGGCGCTATAAACGGAAGTAAGCTTACCCTTAATGGGGCGGGTGTGACTTGGGTAACGGAAGTTTGAACACCGGTGGTTCCACTGACGGACGAGGATCTATCTCTGGTATGCCGTTTGACGTGTTTAGCCAAATGATCGCTTCTCATGAATCTCCTCTGACAAACTGTACAAGCGAATTTCTTTTCGCCGGTATGAGTTCTCTTGTGACGCGAAAGTTCATCGCTTCTTGAAAACCGTTTGCTGCAGTCTTTGTAAGGGCACGAGAAGGGACGTTCTCCCGTATGAGTTCTCGTGTGTGCTTTCAAATGAGATGACTTAAAATAATTCTTGCCACAACCTGGATGCTCGCATTCGTAGACACGTCGTCGTGCAGCTACTTCTGGAGTAGTTATGCTAGTAGCTATGCTAGTCGTGGTAGTCGTAGGTGTAGTTACTAATAAGAGAGGTGTTTGCGGGAGAATCAGAGGAGATCGTAAGAGTCCGGTTACCATAATTGGTGCAGGCTTTGGTGCTAAAGGATGTAACTTCGGCTGAGCGGTTTCACGATCTGTGTTTTTGTTATTTACGATAATCTCCTCTTTCCGTAGGCTCATTTTAAATTTCAAACTCTTCAAAATATTCTCTGGTTCGGGAACGCTCCATCGCGTTATCGGTTCTGGCCGCTGCGGACTGCAGATCTGTGGTACCTCCTGTGGTACCTCGTGTGGAACTGATTGTGAGCACATTACGGTAGTCTTTGGTGTTAAGTTGGCAGGACTGTAAGTACCGTCCCGGTTGGCACGCATTATGACCGATACACGGGCTGGTTCTGGACTCGGAGGTGGTGTACCGTCCAACAGTAGCTATATAAGAAAAAGAAAATATATCGTTTACGTTTGTTTGATAAGAGGTTTGTTTTGCGTTTAAACAAAAATATGTTTTATGGACCGATACAATTTTTTTTCAGCTGTTTCGAAAAAAAATTTCCTGTTATCTTATTTTCGTGTCATTGAATTTGCGAACAACAGAGATTTTTAATTAATAAATTAATTTATAAGCCATCTATGAATATACATTTTTCGAAACTACTACCGTCAGACGGTATATAACATTTGCTCGAAGGATAAATGACAAAAATGGTGTAAGAGTGAATGCACGCTGTAAACGGGGTCATCTTGCAAAACAACTCTATAACGTTTGCGCATGCGTATGTACATTGGAGTGGCCAGTCAATCGCGCGTGGAGAAAAAAAAAATCAAAAAATAAAGTTCTGCAGATATGCAGAAAACAATTTGCAAACAATACAATATTCACCTTTGCTAATTCACATTGCTCTACGCATTTCCGTTTTCGAAGAGGTTCGTCTTCCTCTGAGTCAGAAGGCTGAGGAGTTGGGGGTAAACCAGGCCGTGCATTTCCGTCATCTTCTTTTTTTGTATTTATGTTAGTATTTGTCTTTTGCAGAAGCTTGTCCCCCAATAATGCTGCAACACTGAACGAAGACTGCAGCGGTTCGATCTGTAAAGAAGAAAAATCTATTAATAAAATATTTCAAGTTTCACATAGCAGTGGAGAAGTTCGACTGAAACGATTGGAACAACCATAACAACGATAAATGTATTCATAAAACAATTCGACGCGAAAAAGGTATTAAAATTACAATAAAATTATACGGAGGTAGCAATAAAATTCTAAATATATTGGTATCGATATTTTAGGTGGAACAGGGCT